TTTGTTGGGGGGAAGGTCTATTTAAAACAATTTCTGAGTGAAGATTAGAAGTGTTAGTCAACTTCCTACGTAATTTAAGACCTCTGTTCACTCATTTCCCCATGCTTGCTCTGCAATATCCCCTTACTCAGCCACTCAACTGTCCCTCTTCTGGCTCCTCAAAAGACTACTGGAAGGTGCGAGAAGGAGAGGGAGCCAAAGCTGCACAGGTGGTACAGGGAACACAGTAGCTATACATAACAGGCACCTACATGTCAAGGGCTTTCCCTACTTTGCACAGAAACAGCAACATATTGGGAAGTGCTTCCTGCTATGGAAATGCTACCAAGGGCACAACCAAAAATAAATTGCAGCCTCTCCGCTAGATGGCACTGCACTGCCACTAGACACCAACACAACCAGCAGATTCCAGAAGCCTTTACCTGTGGGTACTTGTTCCCAGGTTCAACTCTGCTGAGCATGGCCAAGACAAAGGCAGCTGTCTTACCAGTACCAGACTGAGACTGGGCAATCAGGTTCTGTGGGCTGGATCAACACACAACAGTCATTTTAAACACTCTGGGATGAGCTTGACATAGTGCGACTAACATGGGCTACACAGTGACAGGATGAATGACAGCCACAGATAAGGGATTCTAATACACTGGCCCTGCATCTTAGCTGTATCCAAACTAAAGCCACATCCAGTCTCATAAAAGCAGGATTTCACAAGATGGAGGGTGCAAGTGAGCACTCTACAAATTGCATCCATCTGGACACAAGCAGCTTCCACGGACTGTGGAGCTTTGTTAAGAAGGCTGCTGTGATGTGGCAGTACTTTTCCACATTGCTCAGCTCCCCCTTGCATTGGCATCACTGCTTCATGCCCTTCACCCCAAGGGTATGGATGAAGTAAACAGAGAAACTGAGGCAGCCATGAACTGTGGCATTTGAACTGCAGTGCCTTGGCCAGGATTTATGGAGTACCATGGTTAAACAGCTTTATAAAGTCTCCCTTATATTATAAAGATCATCAGATTTACTGCTGCCAAAGACAGAGAGAAGTACTGCTGTAGAGCTGGCAATGAAGGCAAAGGTGCTTTATAGGGACCTATGCGCATCTGTTGTTTAGCCCATCAGCACAACCCCGGACAGCTGGTTGCATCAACAGCTCTGTGTGTAGCAACACTTCAAGCAGCCTCACCTAAAATATGTGGTTTAATGGTTAACAATGATTTCATGCTTCCCCTCTATTTACCAAGTGCAGAAAGGATGTATACATACGGTTCAGCAAGCATCATGGGCAGAGCATTCTCCTGAATTTTAGATGGTCGGTTGAAGCCCATGGCATAAACTCCTTGCAGGAGCTGGGGTTTCCTGGAAACAGGAGAGGAAGAAATAGGAGAGTTTTGAAGAGCACAGCATTAGAAACAGGTATTAAAGGTCAATAAGGAGATCACAGTGCAGGTGCCTATAAAACTAAACCTAATAACCAGCAGTCCTGCCAAAATGCTCACTTATCACATGAACCAAGCGGCAAACTATTGGGCCAGCTGTTTTTGTCGATACTGTTAATGGAGAGGAAGTGGCCCCTCTGTGGCTCATTCACTATGGGCTTGCACATACCCTAGAAATTCTGGACAACAGCTTTCTTCTTCCAACAGAAGCACAAATCAAAGAGTAGAGATACTTATTCAAGACTATGAACTTTCTGCCCTTTATTACGTCAAGGAATAAAACACAATTACATTGGTGGCAAAGTACTTAGTGGCCCATCATAACAGTTTAAAATATTCACCAAAAATTAACATGGGAACAAAGATTTTAATTGAACCCATAAAAACATACTGGGAACCCCATTTTATCCCAAAACCTGAATCCTGGAGGGAATCACTTGGAGCATCTCACACCCACTGCTCAGTTTTAAATTAACTAAACATGCCCGAGCATCAATGCAGACAGCTGAGCCTGCAATTCTCTGTTCAATATTTCGTTCAATTCACTCTGTTCAATGCGTAGCTATGATCAAAGGAAGCAAGCAATGTGTCAGGATCTATTAAAAATAGAATAGATACTAAAACTGCCTCTCTGTAAAACAATGAATGGAGAGAGAGGCAGTTAGCTGTGTTAGTCTGACATTAGGCAGAAGGCACCTACAGTGGTGCCTTATAAAATAATGGTTCATCCTTAGCTGGGGTAGTGTAATTTATTCTGGTCATCCAACCTCAAAAAGCAGATAGCAGAAATATACAGAGTTCAAAGCCTGACAGAGATCAACTTTGGAGAAATTTCTTTATGAAAAGAAATGGGAGACTGAGGTTAAAGACATGAAGACCATTTTTTTTTTAAAAAAAGGTGAATTGCAGATAGAAGGTAAATAGGATGCTTTTATTTACTGCCCCATAATCCAAGACCAAGGAAAAATTCCATAAGAAATGTAAAGTCTTGAGAAAAAGGTGATCCTTTTTTTTAAACAACACGTGGAACTTGATCGCAAATGATACCTTGTACCAAAGACCTTAGCAAGATTACAAACTAGAGTAAATGTCTGTATGATTCTAATATCTAATACCCCATCTAATATTCATCTTTGCATCATCTAATATTCTCTTTGTATCCACTGCAATTACATTACAGTTCATTCAGTACCTGCAGTTTTCTGTTCTTTCTGGTTAGCAGACAGGGGGAACTTGTGACCAAATAACCCCTCCCCCCCCCCCTTTTTTTTTTT